TAACCCACGGGTCTTCCTACCATACATAATAGTATACAGTGTGCTAGGAGCCGCATCCTGGTCTTTCATACATAATGCCTAGGGCTAACCCCCAGGTCTTCCTACCATACATAATAGCATACAGTGTGTCAGGAGCCGCCTCCTGGTCTTTCATACATAATGCCTAGGGCTAACCCCCGGGTCTTCCTACCATACATAATATCATACAGTGTGTCAGGAGCTGCCTCCTAGTCTTTCACACATAATGCCTAAGGCTAACCCTAGGGTCTTCCTACCATACATAAACCAAATGGGCCAGCATTGGTGCCTTCAACCCATACAAACAATGAGGATACTCACCTCGCACTGCTGAAGTTCCAAGAATAAATCTATGAGACTATGGTTGCTGGCTGGCAGATCCTCGAAGTTATCAACATCAAAACAAAACCCAATTAACCATTTGGGTTTCAATGCATAATCCATAAATCCACACTTGGGGTAAAAGGACCATTGTACCCCTATCTTAGCTTGGTTCAAGATCAAGGCCCCATTTCATACTTTGAAACCCCAAAAGCCAAATAATCAACCAAAGCCCAACATATGGCCTAATTTTCCAAATTTGACCCAAACCCCCCATATGGGCCTTACCTTAAAGCCCATCCAAATATTCTAGTCCATATACTTGTTCTTAGATGACTTATTAATAGACCACACATCTAGGCCCAACAGAAAGGCCCAACTCAAAACCTAACACAATTAGGGTTTTCACATGAAATAACGATTAGGGTTAATTAGAAAAACTTAACCCATTAAGGACTTAATCCATTAAGTCCATCAATCTACTAGGTCAATCATAGAGTGTGGTCGGGCTTAATTCATAATTCCAACCCAATGGTCCAAAATCCGGGTCCCGGTAAGTCCAAATTAAAATCTCCAAGATTAGGATTTTCTAAACCCTAATTAGGGTTTCCAACCCAAAACACGCCAATTAGGCCCAAAAGCTAAGTCTTCAAATCAATTAGGGTTTCATTAGGTCAACTAGGGTTTCATTAGGTCGGGCACCACCCACTACCACCTCAGGTAGTGGTGGTCAACGGCGGCTCACGGCGGCGGCCACCACCTCGTGGTGGTGGTGGTTACGATTCTAGTCGAAATCACGTCCAAACATCCCAAAAGCGATCCAATCACATACAATGCACACCGCTATCCAACACAGCGGTTGATGGAGGCAGCCACCACCTCACGGTGGTGGTGGTGGTGGTGGTGGGTGTTCCTGCCAAAAACTGCATATACAACTTTACACCCATAAAGTACACTCTCACACATACAAAACACACACACAAACACCTCTCACGGTGGCTGGTGGTGGCAATAGGTGGCAGAACGGCAGCCACCATGGTTGGCTTCCATGGTGGTTCGCCTCACCTCCGGCTAACATTCTTCACGAGTTCTAGTAGAAACATACGTACAACACAACGAGAAACCACCACTCACAGCCACCTACTTGGTGGCCGACGACACCGAGGTTAACAGAAACGACGGCCCAAGGCCACCGGCGATCACAGTTGCCATACGCAACGTCAAACCACATAAAGAACGAAGAAAAAGGATAGATGGGTGGCGATTTTTCTTACTGAGAGCTTCCTTTTTGTTCACGAACCGCACCGCGATGTATACAACTCCAATGGTCGGTCTCGGTGGTTCATCTGGCTGCACACGACGTCTCCGGTGGCAGGGGTTGCGTTTCGATGGCAAATAGCCTCTTGGCGCCCTTGTCTGATCAGAAAACGAACGAGGAAGAGAGATGGCGGTTAAGATGGCTCACATGGTGGTGGCGGTTGTATTGAACATGTTAGGGTTAGGGTTGAATCATGAGGGTGGGAGGGAAAGAGGATACCGGGTTGATCCCGTGTTCCTTCCAAACATGTGCCCCATTTTCCAACTTGAGTCCCTCCTCACAAGATTTGTTTTCAGTTTAAATGCAACATTTACACTTAAGCCCCTGCCTTCAAAAATCCTTTCATAATAAGTCCACAATTTACCAAATACACTCTGACTTCTGAAATCCTTTTCAAATTAAACTCATAATTTACTAAACATCCATCAACCTTCAAAATCTTTACAAATTAATCTGGAAGTTACATTTCAACCCCCAAACTCTCTATTATGACTTTTTAGCCCCCAAAACCAATGCCTTGCTAAATTATTCCGCATTTAGGGCTACTATTCATTTATTAATTTTATCTATTTAATTATTTAATAAACGGAATGTTATACCACCACTTGTTCATCATCGTTTTCTTAACCCCACAACACCATCAACCACCCATATACCCATCATCTTCACCGCCACCCAATACCACCCTTATCCCTCCATTACAGCCACCATAACTGCCTTCTACCACCCATATAAACACCATCCTAATCATTATCAACCCAAATTCTTCATCAGCTCTCCAAACCACTCTTCTCCCTATTCATTGCCTACCATCAAACCACCTAATACCACCATCAATCGTACACGTGTCACACACTATAACAAATTAACACCTGAAATTCAAGAATTAAAAGAGAAGAGGGTGTGCTGCGGTACCGATTTTGAGAAGAGAGAAAAGTGGGAGAAAGAACTGAAACATGTAACCTGATTAAAAGGAAAGAAGTTAAACCTTGTGTTCTTTTGGTGTAATTGGAGGTAGAACAAGGAGAGTTAGTGTTATTAGATGGTCTTCGTTATGTTGATCCAACTGAAAATAGCAAGAAGGAGATGCATGAAGAGGAGGTGGACCGATAGTGGTCGACGGTTTTCGGTGGAGAGAAGAGAGAAAGGGTTTTGTTTGTCACCAGCATCGATTTTACGATTGGGGGTCATAGTCTATGGGTGATTAGGTTATGAAATATTTTTACACATTTTAATTTAATTAAAAAACAAATAAATATTTAATAAACATTTTCTTTTAATGGATTAATAATTAATAACTATTAAATCAATCAAAAAATAAAGAGTAAATTAGACGAATGGTCCATATGGTTTGGGGTAGTTTGCACGTTGGTCCCTAACTTATTTTTTTAACTCGTAAGGTTCCTACTATTTGTTTTTGTTGCGCGCTTGGTCTATAGTCTTACCTAAAAAGACGATTTTGCCTTTTATTTTTTAATTTATTTAAATAAACACACTTCCAACCTCACCTTACATTACCTTACCTACCTCATCTTAGTTAAATAAATTAAAAAATAAAGGGAAAAATAGTCTGTTTAGGTAAGACAGGGACCAAAAATGCAACAAAAACAAATCGTATGAACCTTACGAGTTAAAAAAATATGTTAGGAACCAAACGTGCAAATTATCCCAAACCGTAGGAACCATTCATGAAATTTACTTAGAAAATAATAAATAAGTCAAAAATATCTTTTCATATCCGGAGGGATGAGGCACACAATAATTAACCAAACGAGAGATGGTCCAAGTTAATTTTTAAAAATAGGGACTGGACGTGCCTTTTGACTCCTACACGAGGGACGGTTTGTGTAATTTACTCTATCGAAAAAGTATGGTCGACGAAAAGACACATAAGGTTTATATTTTTTTTAAACTTGGATTGATCTTATCCGTTATGACATCAGTCGTATTTAAAGTTTTTATAGATTTTTTTAAAACCTATCTTATAATATTGGAAAAGTACGGTCAACGAAAAGACAAATAAAGTTTATATTTCTTTAAAACTTGCATTGATCTTACCCATATTAATATGAATGATGTATTTTTAACAATGAAGTTGATAAAAATTGATATACACATCAACATCAAAATAGATAATAAATTTTTTGTGATGATTTAATATCATATATTCAAAAAATTGGTTTAGAACGTATTACTAATAATATAATTATGCAAACATTTCAAGGTATAGTCTTGTTGGTACGATTATAAGAGTTTTAATATAAATACTAGATATGTTTATATATTTCAAAATACAAGACCCGACCCGTCATTACTATTATTGTCTTTTATTTTTGTCAGCTTCTATATGGTTTTTTATTCACAATTCATGATTAATTAGTCCTTTCTATGTTATAAGCAATTAAGGTTTTAAAAAACTCATTATAGCTTAAAGCTTGTACTCAAAGTCACACTTTAACAAAATGTCACCGTTTATATATATATATATATATATATATATATATATATATATATATATATATATATATATATATATATATATATATATATATATATATATATATATATATATATATATATTATAATTATTGACTATATATTAAATTGTTATCTTAAGTTATACCTTACAAATTATATACAACCCATGAAAACTTTAGATTTGATATTATCATCAAATCACCATCTAGCTTAATTTAGAACATTGTTATTGTTATGGGTGATTACGTTTTTTATTTATGTATTTGGTTCAAACTCAACAATGATGTCGAAGAAAGACAAGACAACAAATATTATTATTGCATCTTTAAAAATGCCGTCTTTAATTTTATTCCAAAGGAAAAAAGGCGGGTTTGATTGTTATTCGATTCTAACATGTCGATATCAATGAAATGACCCTTCTTCCTCCAAACCCTCTCACTTTGTTACGCTCCTTCTATTATGTTCTTGCAACTCTCTTGGTGTAGATGGCTGTTAGACAAAAACTCCAAAGATGTGGTGCACTTGAATTTTAGAAGCCAGCATGTAAATTTTGGACCACATATTTACAGAATATTACTCCATATGTAAAGACCCCGTAATTGACAAGTCCTTGTTCACTCACAAACACACCACATATATATTCATGAGGTCATTAATTTAATCTAAAGCTCATAAGAAGAAAACATTTTCTTAATTGAGATATCACTATCCTTCTATCTGCATGCCTTATGAGCTGTTTATGATCTGCAATTAGCTAATATTCCAAAACACGTTAAGATTTCAACTCTCAAGAGATGGTGACACTTGACCCCATATTGATCTCAACTTGGTATCAATTATTTATTATAACAAAACTGCAAGTTGAGCCGAGTGTTTCGTTAGTGGGATAGTGGTTCATTTGGAGAACGACAATATTTTTCTGTCGTTTTCAAGTAAATCACCTTTTGCTTAGATTATCGATAATGATCACCACCTTCCTCAACATAGTCTCAAACAAATTAATGACAAATGGGTTTGGGTAAAGCTTTTTTGTGAACAAAATAGTGGATATATATGTAGGAAAAAATAAAAAGGTTTATATACATGTGTAATTCTTGTGACGCCACGACATGTCCACCTGTTAACCTCTCCAGCACCGGAGTCCGCCACCTAGCTCCTCCACCCCATCTCTCTCATGATATATATCCATGGCAAGAACCTGATTAAAGTAGCTACGATAAGAAATAGCAATCAAAAGCAATGGCTGACATGAGAGGAAGCGGTGTCATCTGTAATGAGAGTTGCGGCTGTCCTTCGCCTTGCCCCGGCGGTGTTGCATGCAGGTCTCTCTCTCTCTCTCTCTCTCTCTCTCTCTCGGGAGATTGAGTTATGTAGTGAGTTGAAGGAGATATGATATATAATGAATATGTGGTGCAGGTGCAAGAGTGGTGGCATGCAGAGCAGCGGCGGTGGGGAGGAGGAGCACAAGAAATGTTCCTGCGGCGAGCACTGCGGATGCAACCCTTGCAGCTGCTCCAAAGAGTCGGCCTCCGGTGGCACAGGAAAGGCTTTTTGCAAGTGTGCTGATGGTTGCACCTGCGTCACTTGTTCATCTTGAAGATGGAAAGGTCGACCTAGTTGATCAGTGTGTATATTAGCTAGAGAAAATAACAGCCTATTCCACCCTAATGTATATATATTTACGTCACATATATGTATTTATATAAATAAATGTTATGTGGGTTGGACTGAATCTGTAAGATTATGATCCTAACCGTTTGGATGTTGTAAATGGGATTAATTTTGTTGGTAAACATCACATGCATGATGAACGAATCTGTAACATATAAGAAATCGACATAGAAAATATATTGGTTTTTGTGATTTCTTATACGCGTCTTTGTATAAAGACAAAAGACAAAGACTTGAAGAATGATGAACAACATTTCAACTTAAGAACACTACCAATAATGCTAATCGAAATAAATTAGGAAAAAATGTGAATTTTTGTTGATTGAAGAAAATTAAAATGGTTACGTTACTCTTAAAGCAAATCTCTCTCTTTGATCGCTCAAAATATTGGAGATCGTAAAAATGTTGTTTAAAGTGAAGCACGAGTAATTTATGTATATGTGAGATGATACATATGCAGCATAGATGCTTAAGAGTTAAAGGTGGGCTTGAATGATCTGTAGAAGCCCATGTTGTCAGCCATCATCACAACAGTCTTCAAACTCCAATGTTCGGTTCAAAGATAAGAGGTAAAAAAAAAAAAAAAAAAAAAAAAAAACCGATGATTCTTCTAGGAAAAAACCGATATCCGGTTCAAAACCTGATTTTATAAAATCCAATTCTGTTGAAGCATCGTTAGAAAAAGCAATTTTTGTTTTAAAATTTTGAACGAATTTATTGTCGTTTGTATTGTTTTGTATAAATAGTCGGTTGACTTGTGTGGGTTTCATGATATTATTATTAGTATTATCATTATTATTATTATTATTATTATTATTATTATTATTTTGTTTTGTATAAATAGTCCTCAGTTGTGTGGTTTTCATGCTACTATTTATTTATTATTATTATTATTTGTATTCGATACTTCAAAAAACTATTCGATACTTCTAAAAACTATTTGTATTGTTTTGTAACACATTACCTCTCGAGAGAGTCGTTCCTAGGCCAAATACCCTGTAGTAAAATTTAATATTGTAAAATTGTAAAATCGGTTATTTCCGCAATCTCAAGTAGTTTTTTAGTTCATATAATATTCCTTTTCAAATCTTTGTGTAGATTAATACTCTCGTCAATAATGTGCGCATTTTCGTTATATGTTATATTTCGTATTTTTCTTCTATTTCTTTTTTTATTTCGAAAAATGGCATCCAATTAAGGTTCGTAATCGCCTGTCGTGGGAGCTTCGACATCCACCATAACATTAATCAAAGTATCATCTACGAACCGAAACCTTAAATTTTTTTTGGGAACGGCGGCAGCACTTTTATTAACCGCTGCACAGAAAGAAACTATGCAGGCCAAAACAAAACCAAATTACATAATATTGAAGGGAAGACAACACCAATCAATCCATCTATAATTCCCAAAATGCGCTTTAAACTTGACCCAATTAATAACTAAATAGATCACCTCAGAAATATTGCACCGCCTCATAATCAACACCAACACATCTCGAGAAAAAGAGCAGCCAGTGTGGTCTGATTCGTCAACACCCACGCAACACAATGGACAAGAGGAGTCGTCAATTGAAACACCCCTACCCAAGAGGGATTTTGTTGTGAGGATTCTGCCAATACAAGCCCTCCAAATGAAGCAATTAACCTTCAGAGGAACAAGATACACCCAAATCATGCCATTATTCAACGACACGGTAAAAAAGGAGTCGATAAGCGACCTCAAATCATACACCGATTTCCAAGAGTCTTCCTGATATCGCCATCTTCAAAGCATCAACATCGTTGATTTCCTCTCTAGACCTTGGACACATCTCCCAAGCCTACCCTTCCTGACTAGAACAGATATGGTAAAAAACGAAACAACCTTTTCTCTTATCCAAATCAAAGGCAAGGGGGAACCTACTAGCCAAAGACCTATCACCTGTCCAGTTGTCGAGCCAAAACAACGTAGACCTACCTGAACCAATAACTATTTTGAAAATATGAGAGAGAGGAATGCCAATTCCTTTGATGATAGAAATCACATCAGCGATATTTTGCCAAATTCCATGAATAGTCTTCTTAGAGAGAGCAGCCACAAGTTTCGTATGGAGATTGTGCGTCCCACAGATAACCTTTCGCCAGAGAGCCTGAGACTCAATTTTAAAACGCCATATCCATTTAATATTCAAAACCCAATTGAGAGAAGCCAAAGAACCAATTCCTAACCCCCCCCCCCCCCCCCCCTTTTTTTTTCTTTTAGGGCTAAAACATTCTTCCAAGCCACCTAATGAATTTTGTTCCTTTCATCACTACTGCCCCACAAAAATCTTCTACGAATTTTCTCTAAAAGATCAATAACTGAAGTTGGCGCTTTGAAAACAGAAGAGTAATAAAGCAGCAAACTACCCAAGACAGATTTAACAAGGGCGGCATGTCCACCAAAGGAAAAGGGTTTTGGCTTTCCAAGACAAGAGTATGCTTTGAACCCTATCAATTACCGGTTGCCAATTCCTTTTGAGCTTCGTATTAGCACCCACTAACACCCCAAGATACTTGAAAGGGAACGAAGCCGCATCGCATCCAAGTACACGACCACAATTGGATATCTCCCTTTCCGAAACCCCAACCCCACACACTTTAGATTTGTGAAAATTAACCTTTAATCTAGAAATCGCGTGAAAGCACCTAAGAATACGTGACAAATTAGCAAAGTTGGAGCTCTCCCACGTCCCAAAAAATAAGGCGTCGTTAACGTAGAAGTGATGGGATATCGAAGGTCCCTCATTAGGAATATTGATGCCATGAAATTATTAGTGTATATTTTTGTATAGCCCAATTGTATTTAGCCTATGTTTAGTATAGCCCAATTATATCATTCTATCTTTATATATATATATATATATATATATATATATATATATATATATATATATATATGTTTGTGTAATGAAGATCGACTTTGAGGGAAAATCGTTTATCAACATGGTATCAGATATCTTCCCTATTCTTACTCTATACCTCCGATCCTGATGTTCACGGCATTAACCCTAGCCGTCATCTGATCTCTTCTCCTCTCTCACATCTTCTACAATGGTAGGTGAAGCATCCTCATCATCCAACAGTCAAAAACCATATGAAGTTCTCAACATCAAGACATACATCCCTTTAATACTTGATCTTAATGAACTTAATTACGATGCCTGGAGGGAGCTCTTTGAGACTCACTGTCGTGGATTTGGTGTACGAGAATTCCTCACTGGTGAATCAAAACCCACATCAGACAAGGATGAAGAATGGTTCAAACTTGACTCTGTTGTGAAAACGTGGTTATACGGTACTCTGACCCAACCTATTCTCACTTTGATTCTCACTAAAAACTCTACCTCTCACATGGTGTGGACCTGTCTCGAAACTCTTTTTCGTGATAACAAAGATGCTAGGGCCATTGAGCTTGACAATGAACTCCGAAGCATGACTCTTGGAGATCTTACCATTGCCTAATATTGTCAAAGGATAAAGTCTATTGCAGACCTGTTGGCAAACATTGATAATCCAATACCCAAGAAAACTCTGGTTGCTCACCTTCTTAATGGTCTATCCCCTCAATATGAGCACATAGCCACTCTTCTGCACCACTAAGACCCTTTACCAACCTTCCTTCAAGCCCGCTCAAAGATGCTATTTGAAGAACAACGTTTCAAGAATTCTCGTCCCCCTCAGGCTTCGCACTCTGATCACTCCTCCTCCCCTTCGGTTCTCCTCGCTGACAACAACACTCGCAGCAATAGCGGCTCCTCGCAAAGCAACACATAGCGCTGCCAGTTTCAGTAGAGACATGGTGGTCGTGCCACTTCACAGCAGCGTAGCCATCCCCCTACTAGGTCATTCACAACCTCACAACATCGACAGATGCCTGGGCAACCCTACCAACTGCCTTGGCAGCCATTTCCCTGGTGGTACCCTCCATTCTGGTCCGCCTATCGCCCAAGCCATCAGCAACCACAATGCCCTTCTACCTACACTCAACAAGGCATCCTCTGACCATCACCAGTCAACCCACCTGTCAACTCCCCTACTGCTGCTGCTGATGCGTTCCATGCCTCAGTCTCTCCCACTCTCCAAACACCATCTCAATGGTTCTCAGCGGTTACAAGTGATCAACCAACCGACCTAACTCAAGTTTTCAATGCAATGTCGGTTAATGATAGGGTAGATGCACATTGGTACATGGATACTAGAGCAACCTCTCACCTTGCATCTAACACAGGTTGTCTATCATCCTTTAGCAATAATAGTACTTTGAAATCAGTTTTTGTTGGCAATGGACAATCTATTCCCGTCACTCATACCGGTCACTCCTCTTTACATACCCCACATAAACCCTTACATCTTCATAATATTCTTGTCACACCTAACATCATTAAAAATTTGATATATGTTTGTCGTTTTACTTCTGATAACAATTTTTCCATTGAATTTGATCCTTGTGGTTTTTCTATGAAGGATTTGGCAACTCATCAGATCCTGCTTAGGTGTGACAACTTTGGAGATTTATACCCTGCTCTATCAACCACTCCATCTCCAGTTGCTCTAATCTCCACCAGCCCCTCCTTATGGCACCAACGGCTTGGCCATCCTTGCGCTCATGTCTTCAATAAATTAGTTTCTAGTCATTTTATTTCATGTAATAAGACATCTACTTATGTTATTGTTCTGCATGTCAACTTGGAAAACATATCAAATTACCTTTTTCTAGATCCAACTCTAATGTTTCTGCATGCTTTGATATTATTCATTCTGATTTGTGGGAATCTCCTATTCCAAGTAATAGTGGAATAAAATTTTATATCATTTTCCTATATCACTTCTCTCATTTTTGTGGTTTTACCCATTAAGACACAAATCAGATGTATTTAGCAAATTCTTACACTTTCGAGCTCTCGTAAAAAATCAATTCCAAACTGACATCAAGCAATTCCAATGTGATCACATGGGTGAATTTGACAACAAACAGTTTCACAATCTCTTTGACCAAAATGGTATCTCTTTTCGCTTCTCATGCCCTCGTACTTCCCAACAAAACAGGAAATCTTAACGCATGATTCGTACCATCAACAATTTTATCCATACCCAACTATGTCAAGCTCATATTCCGCCTACATTTTGGGTGGAAGCATTACATATGGCAACCCATCTTCTCAACATTATGCCCTCTTCCTCCATCAAAAATGACACACCCTTCACAAAACTCTATCGTAAACCTCCCATTTTCACTCATCTTCGTGTCTTTGGTTGTCTTTGCTATCCTCATATCCCTTCTCCTCACAAGCTAGCATCCCGCTCCACCCCATGCATCTTTCTTGGATACCCTTCCAATCACCGTGGTTTTTGTTGCTTTGACCTTTCTACACGAAAAATTATTATTTCTTGTCATGTGGTCTTTAAAGAAACAGTCTTTCCATTTTAATCCTTCTCTCCAAATAAACCTTTTTCCTACTCTTTTCTTGAAACATCATGTGACATATCCCCTCTTTCCCGGGACCTCCTTTTATCTAAAAATGAAAGCTCTACATTCCATTCTCAAAACGAGCCCAACCCCCCCCCCCTCCCCCATCTCCTCCCACCATTGGTCATCCCATAGCCGAAAACCCCCTTCCTTCTTCCTCGGATTCTGACCACTCTATACCTGTGACTACCAACTCCACCGGAAACCCAACCTCACCCCCTTCACCTCATCCCATGCTTACTCGTTCTCGTACCGGGGTCTTTAAGCCCATTCAACGTCTAAATCTTCACACAACAACTGAATCACCTCTCCCTAAATCCCATCTTCATGCACTCCAAGACCCCAATTGGTCCATTGCCATGCAAGATGAATTTCATGCTCTTATTGCTAATAACACATGGACCTTTATGACAACCCAAAATTTCTATCTTGTACAAACCCTGCATCTCAATCAAAGTCCAACTTGCATCTGCTAACTTTTAGCACTGTATAGAATCTGGTGGAGCTTACTGAGCATAGTACATCGAAGGATCAAATACTAGAATGGGTCAAATAGAGTTACAAACCACCAAACATGCTTTAAACCCTCAAATGAGGAGTTTACGACCATAAGACCATGGGTTAATGGCCGTAAACTCATGGTGGTCGTAAACTACATACCTATATATGAAATACTTGGCCATTTTCATTCATTATCACACTTTCAAGCCTAGAACCCGGTTTTGCTCTCAAGTATCATCAAGAACTTTCATTCCAATCTTCAATCTAGTAAGTAATCTTTCCATTTTCAACTTGATATCCTTCCATATCTAGTGAACATACATGATTTCCTCCATGAAATCTCTTCTTTTGGTTAGATCTTCAAGTGTTCTTCTTTTCACCAAGAACACCACGAACACACACTAGTGTTTTTGAGCCTTAAACACCCAAACAAGCTTCTATATTGTAAGTACTCTTACCTTAGTTTGTTTCATTATTGAATCACTTATTTAACACCTTGAAAACATCAAGAACACAAGATCAAAAGGGTGTTTACGGCCAAGGCAATCTCCTTTGGTCGTAAACCCTAATGTTGGGTGCAAAGTTGCCACAACACCTTCCTAAGCCTTGAAACTAGGTCTAGAACACTTCCAACTTAAGTATAGGACCTTAAACATCAAAATGGTACCAGTTACCATGACTTTACGGTCGTAAACTCATTGGGCCATAAGCTCATGGCCGTAAACTCATGTGTTAAGGTCATCTTGGCCATAAACTCTAAGGAGTGGCCATACATCCCTTTTATGCAATCCTATGTGGTTTAACACTTCATTACAACTGTTTTCTAGTCCCTAAGATTGTTCCAATCAATGATTAGTTGTTGTAAACACTAATTAAATACATATATGTGTCATTATATGCTAAATAGGATCCGTGAGTGATCAAGACTTCATTTGACTCTTAGCATCCTTCCCCGATCTTACATTCGCATCACTCACTTCAGGTGAGTTCATACCCCTTAACTTATCTTTTAAATGATTTTAAATGCTTTTAGGGGGGGGGGGGGGGGAATACAAGTGGAAAACATCTTAGTTATATAATCAATCACATGTGATTTATAACTATGTTTACAAAAAAGGATTTCATATACTTCAAATTGTGTTTCAAATAAATGATTTCTTACACTTTAAAACTGTATTATCAATCAAACTACTTTACATCGTTTTATAAACTAACATCAAGTCATTTACATCTATTGTTAAACTCTTTAAACTGTATTACAAAACATCTTTTAAAACTTATATCTTCATCATTCACTTAACCCTTTGTACAAGTTGAGCAAAGGGTTTACATTCATATTCAGTACCAATTCAAGACGTACATATAATGTAACGACCCAATTTTTCAAGCCCAAAAATTTCATTTTCAATTAAACACTTTGTAAAACATTTGTAAATAAACAACATTCAACCATATCATTCTTAAAACATATTTCATGTCTGCAAACCCAAAACATAAGTCATAGTAATGTCATATTACAAATCCCAAAATATATCATGATGCGGAAAACGGGAGTGTGTGTATGATGTGCCGCTACCGTGCCCGCTCCTTCCCCTTCGCTGAAGAGGTACCTGAAACCAAAATTGTAAACTGTAAGCACAAAGCTTAGTGATTTCCCCCATCGTACCACATACCATACAAAAATACATCATACATACTGCCGAGCAATTCTGGGGTGCCCGACCTGCCCGGTGCGGCCATTCTGGGGTGCCATCCTACCCGTGTTAAGCCATTCTGGGGTGCTGACCTACCCATGTCAGGCTATTCTGGGGTGCTGACCTACCTGTCGGTCCTAACAACCGCACTTGGGGACTACTCCCCTCCTACTACCTCTATCACATACCATATATCATGCCAGCATACTAACATACCATCACATACTGTCAGCCATATCTGGGGTGTCTGACCTACCCTTCGGTCCTAACAACCGATCTCTACTACTATCACATATAATATATCATGCCAACATATAACATATCAGGTAGTAACAAACCTAGATGATATCACAAAGA